TGAAAAATAGCCAAACTCTGAACATTTGTAAAGTGCTTTGGATGACCATCGTATGAAAAATGCGCTATATAAATAAACAATACTTACTTACTTATCTGGATTTACAAAAACAATGTCACATATAAACACCAGGATTACAGAGAGCTCTAAACCATAGATTTAAGCCCAAAATGTTTAGTTGCCGAGTTTACTTTTACATGGAAGTCAATTGGAGCCAATCTTTACCATGAGCACTTCCCTGTTGGGCTTTTTATAGAGCTAGCCGGTTTGCATTGTCCCTCTGTGTACAGGCAGTGGTTTCATCGTGAGGCTGCAGCTCTCTCTCCTTCTCTTGGGCTGTTCCGCTCTTAGCCCCTCCCTCTGTTATGTAAGCGGTGTGCAGCGCTCCTGTCTGCTCCACTGCATTCTGGGAGACCACAGCAAACACTCGGGATTCTGGGATTTACACTGCTCCACACGCCCCGGGACGGACTATGGTGGTGACAGGGGATGGCTGTGTGCCTCTGTGCGGGTAAGACCTCTGCCAGACCTGGTTCAGTCCTGGTTCAGTCCTGGTTCAGTCCTGGTTCAGTCCTGGTTCAGTCCTGGTTCAGTCCTGGTTCAGTCCTGGTTCAGTCCTGGTTCAGCCCTTTTTCAAACCTAGTTCAGTCCTGGTTCAGACATGGTTCAGACCCGGTTTAGACCTGGTTTAGCTCTCCTGCAATCCAGTGTCATTGTGTCTGTTGGTGTATGTCAGTCCTGGTTCAGTCCTGGTTCAGTCCTGGTTCAGTCCTGGTTCAGTCCTGGTTCAGTCCTGGTTCAGTCCTGGTTCAGTCCTGGTTCAGTCCTGGGTCAGTCCTGGGTCAGTCCTGGGTCAGTCCTGGGTCAGTCCTGGGTCAGTCCTGGTTCAGTCCTGGTTCAGTTCTGGTTCAGTCCTGGTTCAGACCTGGTTTTGTCTCTGCAACACTTGGGAAACTTTCTTTTATAAAATTTGCTATACTGTGTAGTGTGTACATATAAAGTAGATTGGACCTTACCAATGCTGCACATTACAGCTGTATCTGACGTTAGCATCTGCGCATTGACATGAAATACTGAATAATCTTCATGAAGCAGCAGCAGTTGCACAGCAACAGCATCAATAGTAGCAGCAGCAGTAGTAGTAGTAGCAGTAGCAGTATTGGCAACAGCATCAATAGCAGTAGTAGTAGTAGTAGTTAGTAATGTTTATATAGCACATTTTTCAGACCAAGGTCACCCAAAGCGCTTGCAGCAACAGTAGTAAATCAGTTGTGGTGTTTTCTCAGGGTATGTTCTTGTGCTGCCATTTATCCTTCTTTATGTATCCTCTGGATCTGGACTCTAACTGTAGATAAACTGCACTAGCTACATTTGAAGACAACGATGCATAGTGTCACAGAAAGGCCACTCTTGAATATAATCCCCTTGTTGTGTTGTCACATTTACCCACAGCTGAAGCCCCAACTGTTTTTACTGGACACAACGTGACAATAACAGTTGAAATAAGTCAATGAACTCTGTAGCTTAATCACTAAAACACAAGTCCTATTGCCCTGTACACTTGTGTCTCTCTGCTGTTCACATTAACTCACAAGGGGCAGAGGGATTTAACTAAATTAAAATACATACATATGGCTGAATAGGCTGCACAGCTAATTATAATAATACAGTTAAAACAAATCGGCGCCTTTTATTCCATAGACATCCATTTGACAGTTGTCTCTCTAATCCTAACTGGAGCTTTGACTTCAAATTAGATATATATATATCCATCCATCCATCCATCCATTTTCTACCCTTTAATCCATTTCTGGGTCAGGGGGGTGGCAGTCAGAGATGCCACCCAAGTCTCAGAGCACCAGCCCCTCACTGATCCTCTGCAGGTGGTGAGTCCACAGGAGGACGGAGCCCTGCTCTCTGAGTGTGAGCAAAGCCTTGATCTTTCAGTGGGGGCTATATATATATATATATATATATATATATATATTTTTTTTTTTTTTTCCAGCACATATTGGACAGTAAGGCTGGGAAATAAATTGAATTTAGGCAATTAATCGAATTTGTGAAAACATTTGAAATTGAATGAAGGATATTCAAGCAGCACATGACTCATACTTGCAATATCAGCACAGTCTGTACAAGATTTTTATAATAAGTATTGGGGAAACAAATTTGAAAAAGTTTTGAAACTTGATTATTGAGCGGAAAGATCAAAAAATATGTTTAAGGGCAAAGTCTGTCTTCGGTGACTTGAATGAAAATCAATTTAAAATCAAAATTGTCCAAAGCAGGAAATAAAATCGAGATGTTACTTTTTTGCCATATTGCCCAGCCCTTAATAGTCGATATTTAACGTCTGTAAATAAAATAGTTAGTTCCCAAATTTTTCACCGTGATGTGGCTTGGCGGGTAACAGCTAGGCTAGCTACTTCAAAACTACATGAAAACTGAACAAAGAATTCTGAACATCAGCTAAATCCATAATCAGATCCTCTGCAAATGTGTCCTAAAATGTTCTATTAATGCTAATGGTTACTTCCAGGTTTACCGCGCCCGCTTTTTGACGCATTAAAACAGTATTTTTGTCATGAAAATGTTAACATAAATTCTGAAAACCTTCATGCATGAATGTTAAGAATGTATATGTATAATGTATTCTCCGAACATTTAAATGTGTGGATTATTTATGTTTACAGAGCGTGGCTAGCTTTGATAGCTTCTCTTGAACAGGCAGATGTAGTTAGTGACAGGCATCTGTTGAACTTGCGAAGTAATCTTAGTATTTTAGTAAGTAAGTAAGTTTTTATTTATATACCGCCTTTTCACTGCAGATCTGAGTCTCAAAGCGGTTTACAATTGTTAATTTTTGGGCATTTGTCTCTCACTCCACACAGAGATGGGAGCGGGGCCAGTACAGGAGGCACATGCCAGAACTATTGGACATATTTTTAGTGGTAGGGGAAACCGGAGTACCCGGAGGAAACCTACGCAGACACGGGGAGAACATGCAAACTCCACTCAGAAAGGCCCTGGTCCGACCGGGATTCGAACCCAGGACCTTCTTGCTGAGAGGCGAGAGTGCTATCCACTCAGCCACCGTACACACCTGAAGTACAAGCACAGAATGCGTTGCCAAAGGGCAGTAGTCATCATTGGTTTGAGAGGTCCGTCAGCAAGAAAAAATGATAGGTAGTGTTTTTAAATTATATTCAAATTAGGGATGTAAATCGGTGACCATTTAACCGGTGGTTGACCGTCACAGCGTTAACCGGTCAAAGCTGTCGGTTAAAAAAAAAGAAAAGGGGGAGGAGGAGGTCTCTTAATAACGTTATTTTAAGCCCTATTTGCACGGTGTGGCGAGCGGGTCTGTCTCTAGCTGTGTGCGGCAATGTATCAGTAAACTCCGGGCCGACTCTCCTGCCGTGTGCACAGTACACACTCACACTTTCCCCCCTCCATTGATACTTAACATCCACACGCATCATCTCTCCCCTCTGTCCGCCAAAGTTGCACACTAGCGCGGGTTAGAACTACATTGGAGCTTACATTTACACACACATACATACATATACACACACACACACATACCGGTCTGTCGCGCTCCTCTGTGTCACGCAGCCCAAAGTATCCAAATACGCAGCTCCAGTCAAATCACATGGGAACATGTTTGTGCTGCTGGTCCTTGGCATTAGATCAGCTCCACACACATCACTTTATTTAAACTTTAGCGGAGCTCTGCGAGACGCGGCTCGTCACTCGCTGCTCTGACCATGTGAACGAGACGTTGTTTGCTGCTAAAAACTGTTAACCAGCAGCACAGAAGTATGGAAAGATTAAAAAAGCAGTTCTCTGTGCGCAAAGGTACCAAAGTTGTTGCGGGTTTTGGCGCCGCTGTCTCAGCTCTGATCAAGTAGAACGCAGAGCTGCACTTATGAAAAGTATGCAGCTCGAAATGGCTGTTATTTCAAAGAACGTGGAATATTTTTAACTACGCGGTTAACCGGTTTCAAGCGGTTAATGAGGCTCGGTGGTCGGTCATGAAAATTCATAGTTATTTACATCCCTAATTCAAATGCTGCTGTGAGGAACTGTAAAAATTTTTTTTATTAGATATTCAAATAAATTTGAATATATTCGGATATTTAAATTAAAAAAACAAACAAACTGTGAATAGGATTTTTGTGCAAAAGTCAACGCCCTAATTCTAACTTGAACCAGATTATAAACCCGTTCATTGTTGCTATGGACTTGTTGATGTTCTCCTGCTCTTGTCTCATGTTGCGGTGTTAGCCGTTAGCATTAGCTTTGAAGGAAGCAGATAATTGTCTTAAGTAGTTGTCTCAGAGCCGTTGAAGAGTGCGTCACTGACCTGGATTCACAGATCAGAGCAACAACACTGTCTTAGCGTGTGTCCTAACCCTGTGCATAGAGCTGAAGTTGGCTGGATAACACTGTAAAAGTACCTAAATGGCTACTTTAGGTTACCAAGGCAGAGGGCCACATAACAAGACACAGGGGGCTGTATTTGGCCCACGGGCCTGGGTTTGGACATAAGAAATCTAGTAAGTAATCTGTATTTATATAGCGCCTTTCACAGACCAGAGTGCTGTGTACAAAGTGCAGCCTGAAGCTGCTCATCTAACCTAACATCTCTCTCCCTCCCCTCTTTCTCCTCTCCCTCCCCACTGTTCTCTCTCTCTTCTGCCTCTCTCCCTCTCCTCTTCTCTCCCTCCCTCTCTTTCCTCTCTTCCTCCCCTCTATTCGCACTTCTCTCTCCCTCCTGTCATTCTCCTCTCTCTCCTTTCTCGCTCCCCTTCCTCTGCTCCCTCTCTCTCCTCCCTCCCCTCCCTCCCCTCTCTCTCCTGGATTTATAGAAAACCAATGGATTTTCGGTTAGGGTTAGATGTAGGCTGCTGTACCGCAGGTGGCCTCTAGTCCATATCACACATTGTCTGGACCTGATTTCTGATGCTTCTGTTTAAACTTCTTCTGTCTTTCAGGGCCATGTCGTCTGCAGCCACCACAGCGCCCTCTGTGGACAAAGTGGACGGTTTTTCGCGGAAGTCCGTGCGGAAAGCAAAGCAGAAGCGTTCGCAGAGTTCATCTCAGTTCAGGTCACAGGGGAAGCCCATCGAGCTGACGCCACTGCCACTGCTTAAAGGTGAGAGCCAGACATGCTGCGCCCTCTGGTGGTAGCTCCTGAAGTTAGAAGCAGAAAGCATTCTTCTACATGTTTTGTAAATAGTGACGCTATCGTCCAGCTACTGAAAAATGTAGTAAAGCTCACTGGTTTTTTGTTGTGAGCAATACATGAAACGAGTGATAGAAGCAACTGTTTTGGAGGCATTAGACCCAGTGCTTTGATATTTCCTTCTAATATCGTGGTATTATCTTTTGGCCATATCGCCCAGCCCTACTATATAAACCCTCTCCTCTCTCGCCCCTCTCCTCTCTCGCCCCTCTCTCTCCTCCCCTCCCCTCTCTCTCCTTTTTTCCCTCTCTTCTCTCTCCATAACTTGGCCTCTTCTGCAGGTCTGCGGTCCTCTTCCTGCTGCAGATGTAGTATTGTGTGGCATTTCTAGTTTTTCTTTTTCCTTTCTCCAGGGGAAGCCGTAAATCTGCTCTTTTTCAAGCTGAAGCAGTCTCCATAGTAACCACCAGCTGCAGACGGGAATGTAAATATAGAGACTTATGTAACATGACACATGCATCTCTCCAACGTGAGGAACTGAGCAAAAAACGGCTTGGTGTGTAAGAACAAGCCCTGTGAGTCACTATCTGGCTCTTTGGGCTGAGAGCTGATTGGCTGAGTGAGGGTGGGCCTCTCTTTGATTTAAAAATGTGACAAAAGACAAACACATTTTGAAAGTGAGGGACGTCGCATTGTTTCATTGTTTTAAAGTCACATACTCCAGCTTTAAGAACAAATATTCAGCCCACTTAGGTGGAAAACAGTGGAACAGAACAGATGAGCTGCTGGGGGTTGTTTCACAGCAGTATGAAGAAAAAGATGTGAATTATCTAGTTGCCAGACTTTTCTAGTTACGATGACTTCACCACTTCCCCACATCACATTTGTAAACAGTAAGCGCAATAGCCGAAAACTTTGAGCGACGATTCAACTAATTTTACGTGTGTTTCGATGTCTACACAGAGGAGAATTCTACTCCTTTGTCCATCCAAACGAAACCACGCAAAGTTCTCGTTTCAGTTTCCATTTTTGCTGCTACTGTTAAATTCAGTATAATGTTAGTGCATTCCTTCACGTGTTTGCAGTGGCCTGAGGAGGATGTTGTTGAGGATTACACTGGTGGGGGTTGTGTGTGTCGTGCTGTAATGTTCCACTGCCCCCTAGAACTGCATTGTTTTCAGGCGTCATGTAAACGCTGTGCACTTCAAATAAGGAGCCTGGTTGTTTTTGCTGATATCTTTGCAGCGTCTCTGCTACGTCTCCGTCTAAACAGGGCCTGCTTGGCACTTTAATGGGTGACCTCTGAGGTGCCACAGTGGGGCGGCTGCGGCTGTAAAGTGCCTAACTCTGGTTGTTGCGCTTATTCAAGACACTTCACCCACATTAGAATGAGTCTGGTGTGTGTGAATGGTCTGTGGTGATGGGAGGGGCCGATGGCACAGACTGGTTGGTTTGATTCTGCAAGTGTGCCCCAGGGCAGGTGCGGTTACAGTAGTAAAAATGTATTACCACTGTGTTTGGAGTGATTGAATAATGTGTTGAAGCGTCTGTGAGTGTCCTGACAAGTGCTGAATAAAACTGATGAATAATATTCTAATTTAAAACCAATACACTGGTCCCTGGTTTACGTTCTCTCTCTCTGGTCTCTCTCTCTGGTCTCTCTCTCTCTGGTCTCCCCCACTCCCTCTTTGATCTCCCCCCTCTTTTCTCTCTCTGATCTCCACCTCGCTCTCGCTCTGGTCCCCCCCTCTCTCTCCCTGCTCTCTATTTCAATCAAAGCAACACATTCAGATTCTCCAAATCTACCGCTCATAAGTGCCAAAATGCCTACCCGTCTTAAACTATACTTCCTAATGTAACCCCAGCAGGTTAGCAGCTGAAAATAGCCTTTAAACACAGCTCCTTACAATACCCCCTCCCTCCTTGTCTCTCTCCCCGTCTTCAAACTCGATCTTGTGGTGTCCGTTTACACTCTTCCCCTTTCCCCACGTTCCCACATGTTCTCCCTGGCTTCTGCACTCCTCAGAGCGGACACGACCAGAGCTCACAGCCCCCGATGACAGAGCCACAGCGGCCTGGATCTGTTTAAGCAGGACCCAGGCGGCCGCAGCGTGAGTCGGCCACAGTAACGTCTGTAGCTTTCCCTGCTCCTCCTGCTCTTCCTACTGCTCCTGCTTGTTCTGTGTGTGCATGCTAAAGTTAGCCTATAGCCTAACCCTAACCCGTGTGTGAAGGGGCAGCACTTAAAATGGACCGGCAGTAAGGCAAGAAGTGTTTTCCACAGTAGAAGAGAAACCAGCTCCATGAGTTTAGCTCACAGGAGGTGGTAGTGGTATGGTACAATGGATTCTGATCACAAAGATCCACAAGCCTAGCACTCTCTGCACTGATGGAAAATATTACAGCTGCAATTGAAAGAAAAGAGTACACTGTAGGTGTGTTTATTGACCTACGCAAAGCATTTGACACCATAAATCATGATTTGTTACTGGCAAAATCATCCAACTATGGAATTAGGGGTATAACACATCAGTGGCTTCAAAGTTATATTACAAACCGTAAGCAGTATGTACATATCAACGGGTTAGATTCTGAATGTAGAGAGGTCATATGCATATGTGGTGTTCCGCAAGGGTCTGTTTTAGGGCCATTGCTTTTTATTTTGTTAATGACATTTGTGACTCAACAAACAGGTTACATTTTTTGTTGTTCGCTGATGACACCAGTATATTTCAATCAGGAAGTGATTTGTTGGAGCTATCGGAAAGAATTGAAGAAGAAATGTTAAAAGTGAGAAATTGGTTTAACGAAAATAAGTTATCTTTAAATTGGGATAAAACAAACTATATGATTTTCAGTAAACATAGCAAAATTGATAATGTGAAAATTATAATTGATGGAGTCGGTATAACAAGAGTCGAGGAAGTTAAGTTTCTAGGTGTTGTTTTAGACGAAAAATTAAAGTGGAAAGCTCATATTGAGTATGTAAAAAGAAAGGTTAGCAAAAGTATTGGCATTTTATATAAAGTTAGAGATTTGTTTGATTGTTGCTTGTTGAGGATGCTTTATTCCTCAATGATTCTCCCATATCTCCCAGATTCTCCCTATATGTTGAGGTCTGGGGTAACACATATACTTGTACCACCAAGCCCTTGTTCCTGCTGCAAAAAAGAGCAATTAGAATCATCAGTAAGAAAGGTTATAGAGAGCACACTAATCCTTTATTTATTGAAAATAAACTTCTTAAATTTAAGGATCTCGTCGACTTAAAAATGTTGAGTATTATGTGTAAAGCTAAACAAAAAAAATTGCCAAATGATGTTCAAAGTAATTTTGTTGCACATGACGCTTCCCATAGAAGAAAATATAATTTTCGGAACATGTTTGCAGGAACATCGGTGAAACGGAAATGTGTGGAATTTAAATGTTGTACAAGTGTTTACAAATTCAAAAAAAAATGTACAAAGACAAAATTCTGAGTGATTACGAAAAAATTGAAAACAACTGAAGTGAACTGTAAGACGAGCCGTTTTGTTATGTTTTGTGACCTGGTGATGAGTTGGGGTATAATGATGGGGATTTCTGATTTTATTTTGTAAATTTTCTAATGGGAACAGATATTACAAGATTAATCTTCATTCTGTTCCTTTTTGTTCATGTATGGATTTAAAAAAAAAATGGTGTAATGGCCTGACATGACATGAGCAAATAAATAAATTAAAAAAAAAAAAATAAATAAATAAATAAAAAGACTGGTATGGTACATGCAGGAGGTGTTAGTGGTATGGTACATGCAGGAGGTGTTAGTGGTATGGTACATGCAGGAGGTGTTAGTGGTATGGTACATGCAGGAGGTGGTAGTGGTATGGTACATGCAGGAGGTGTTAGTGGTATGGTACATGCAGGAGGTGTTAGTGGTATGGTACATGCAGGAGGTGGTAGTGGTATGGTACATGCAGGAGGTGTTAGTGGTATGGTACATGCAGGAGGTGGTAGTGGTATGGTACATGCAGGAGGTGTTAGTGGTATGGTACATGCAGGAGGTGTTAGTGGTATGGTACATGCAGGAGGTGGTAGTGGTATGGTACATGCAGGAGGTGTTAGTGGTATGGTACATGCAGGAGGTGGTAGTGGTATGGTACATGCAGGAGGTGTTAGTGGTATGGTACATGCAGGAGGTGGTAGTGGTATGGTACATGCAGGAAGGGATAGTGGTATGGTCCATGCAGGAGGTGATCTCTGCATGTACCCCATACCTCCAGAGCCGGGAGCGGACAGGTCTGTTTATCTTCTATGCTCCTCTTCTTGTACAGGGCGTTGGTGTTATGGGACCAGTCCAGTTTAATGTTTATGTGAACACCCAGCTACTTCAAGCTGTCCACCAGCTCAATGTCCTCCCCCTGGATGTTGGGGGGGAAACTCCAGCCTTAGCAACCGTCTTAGCAACACGTCTGCCCCTGTTAAGCCTAGGGTATACTTGCGCGGCGTGGCTTACGTTAGCGGTTGTGGTGGACCTACGTAAGCACAATTGATGTTATACTGGCGCGTTCCCCTTACGGAGTTTTGAGGAGAATGTTGTAATCCCACAACAAACCACATGAGGGCGATCACACAGGAGCGGTCCCATTTACGCTGCTACTTTGTCCTCTTCAGAACAACAATAGCAAACAAAGCTGTTTGAGCTCATTACACGTGTTTCTACTGCAGGTTTATGTGAGTTTTATGGATTCATTATTTTATAAGTCATTTCAACTGTGATGCTGTGAATAAAGACACAGTTCTTGTTGGAAACATAGTTATTATTAAATAGTTTTCAGCACAAACAGCAAAACAATAATAGTGGTAAATATCTGAGACAAACATGAACGATTTACGAGTGCAGGAGGAAAGCAACAAACGCAGCTACGATTCAAACAAAGACAGGAACAGTGCAAAACAAACGACTGCACAGTTTATAAGTTATATATATG